GCCACTGAAATTATTGCAGATTTAGGCTAGGCCTTATCTTAGGGTGTGTTTGGGTTTCCTCTTGGAGAAGAAAAAACACAAAATCTTCTTTTTTTTTTTTTCCTGGCAGCTGCTGGACTGTGTCCTATGCCATCTGAAAGATAACTGCAGATTTAAAACATCTGCTGCTCTTATGGACTCTGTCCAAGTGAAAAAAAAATTGAGTAAACTGAGTGTAAGGAGTTCTTCAAAACCCATTTACTTATATTTAGTATTTGGTAACAGCATGTTCTTGACCCAGGAAGATGAACTCTAACGGACTTTTGATATTCAAATGTTGCTGCTGATCTGGAGGTGCATGTAAATTGAAATGTAAAATTTGGGGATTATTTCTGCCATAGCTGCTTTCTGAAGGAGCAAGTTGCAATGACATAAGCTTTGTATCCAGTTTGCCTGTGTTATACCAGCATATGGCTCAGACACTTTGCTCCCATCCCCAACAAAATGGGCTCCAATTTTAGAATGTCCTTTACTGCATCTCCATTTTTTTTTTAATACTTCAAGGTTTTAAAAATTCTTTTTTATTTGCATCATTTAAATAATCATGCTCAAGTCCATTAAGCTTTGCAGGAACTAGAAAGAAACGGGAAAACAATGAGTCATTAAAATACATATTGAGGAGAATTAAATTTGCCATTCTGGTTGAATTCCTCCCAGGCAACAAGGGAAGGTCAGGCTATCACATCATGGTAAAGAAATATCAGAATTCTAGAAAGATTTTTTTTTTGTTTGTTTGTTTATATTTTTTGGGGTGTTTTTTTTTTTTTTTTTTTTGGTCAATACTCCTTAAACTTGACTTTGAGAATGCAAGGTCACCTCTGCTGGATATCCTTTTCCAATAGCTTTGGTATGGTGTTAAATAATATTTTAGGGTTACTAACTCCTGATATGGCAAAATGGGAATGGGTGGCTTTTAAAGTTATCAAATCCAGATCATTCTTTTCTCATTAGATAAAGAATATTTTCTGCAAAGCTGAATACCTTTTAATCGCATAAAACTGAAAACACAGAGTCAAGATTTACATGTGTATAAAATAAAGCCATTAGGGCTACCTTTTTGTGTTCTTTTGTTTTCCCTGCAGACATGTTGAAAAAAATCAGTGTAATTAGCACTGGTCCGCATGAAGCTTGAAATCAAAGTTCAGATTTCTGTCAACTGATACTCAAATTTTTCTCTTTTACTGCATAAAATTTGGGATAAGATCTTTTTAGGTGAAATGAGAAGAGAGTTCTGAAGTATTTGCAAAATACTTGTGTACATACTTAATTTTCTTTATTTCTGGGATACCACTGCTTTGTATCTTGGGTCATCAATTGAAGCAGAGGAGATTAATTATTAAGAATCAGTTTAATTTTAAGGATGTGTTTACAATGTGCCAGTGACATAATAAATAGCTTATTGCACATGACTTTTTAGGCTTTCAGTTGATGTGAAATTTAGGGGTAATTTTTAGGAGGGAAATACCTCCAGTCTGTGGAATATTTATTATACCTCTGTAGTGAAAGCATCACCTCTGAAGGACCAAATTAGAGATAACATTCCATGGGGACGTGCTTGGGCTTCCTGTGGAAAACTGGAGATCTCTGTGGAAATCTTCCAAAAGGCCCCATGGTAGTTTTGGTCTGCATTATATGAACCTTAAAAATGTCTTGGTTACTTTCCATAAAGAAGGGCCCAGCCCTGTTCTCTGTGTCCTGGGCTCTTGTTTCACTTGGCTGAGTGGTGTCTGTTGCTGCAGAATCACTACAACACAGGGCATTTAACTCAAAATCCATGAAGGGAAATACAATTGAACTGACTAAATGCTTGCTGGAGAAATTTTTAGTGTAGGAACACATTTTTTATCATCATACTTGGAATGTTTGAAATTTAGAATTTTTTTTCCTTTAGGCTTTCTGATAGTCAAATATATTTCTGAAAAGACTGAAAAAATATATAACCCTGATGGATTTCTTTGTTACCTGGGGTGAGGCCTATTTGATTATTTTTATTCATTATTTTACACTTTATAGTTTTATGGTTATGACAGGAATGTTTTCTGCTTTCTGTCATTTTGCAATTTCATGGAATCAAGTCTAGAGTAACCAATTCCATCCAATTCCATTGAATTGAAAACTTCTTTGCTGTGGAGGATCTGTGGGGAGAAATGAAACACAAACAAAACTGTAATGGTTTTCCTTAAAACCAGAGGAGTTAAAGCTATTTAATTGTGATGAACAAAACATCAATGCATGGAGTTTGCAACCACCTGAGTGTTTACAACTACTTTGATGATAATAAATTCAGGCACACGGAAATACTTCATAATATAAGATTTAGATTTCATGGAGAATTTATCCAGAGTAATTTGTATAAACTTGCAAGAATTATGCATCCTGTTCACATTAACCTGTAAGTAATGGTGGATAACTTCAAAACAGCTGAGTGAGATGGAGGAAAAAATTAATTTATTCTTTCTGATCTTCATGTATATTCCTAGAGAGAATAAAATAATTGCTGCAAATCATGGCCTAAGATATTTCCCATTAAGTCTCAGTACTAAAAATGAAGGTGGTGACAGCAATAATTTCTTCCCTAGCTGGAGGTTTTTGTCTTATGTAACTTTATTTAGCATGCCATGGAATGAAGAGTATTGTAGCCAGCACTAGAATTATAATGGAATAATAATAATAATAATAATAATAATAATAATAATAATAATAATAATAATAATAATAATACTCCTTCAGACTTTCTCAGGTGTGTACCGTCATTGACAAGGAGTGAGAATCTACTTGAATAAAACTGAGCAAGCTCCTTTTCCAAGCATGGCCACCGGTCAGTGCTTGTGCCACCAGGACAGAAAGAGGCCAATTCTCAGGCACAGCCACAGGGATTGGGGTTATAATGATTTGGGTGCTCCCACGGGAGGCTCCAGTCTTGTGGAGGAGTGTCGGGAGTTGTGAATGATCCTCATTCTCAGCTGCTTTCCTTTCATTTGCATTTGCTTCTGAGCTGCTTAACCACGGGTAGATTATTTCAATTTTCCTGGTGAATAATGCATGAGGGTGTATAAGTGGATGTTCCTTGGCTGAGTGGGCTGCAGATTAAAAGTGTCAGCTCCTTTGCAGCATTAATGTGCATTTCTTTCTCAGGTTAAAACTGGAGAGAATCTAGATATGCTTTTTTTGGAGAACTCCTACAAGTGCCAAAATATTGGCAATGTTTACTTTTTCTCTTCTTTTTCACTTGACTACCTGTTATTTGAATGAAAAAGCCAGTTGCCAATTTTCCAGTACAAGCTTATTTTCCTTGAGACTCCCCCTCAAGATTTCAATGCCACATTGTTGTACCTGCTGCTTGAGCTTCCTGGAAACTATCAGGAACAGGGTTTTTAAAAATTTGTTTCTCTGTCCCTCCTGTCAGCTCAGAGCACTGATTCCTTTTCACTTCTCCTTCTTGCTCTTTAATATGCCCCAGAGGGATAATTTGGAGTATCCTTTCCTGCTCTAGCAGCCCTGGGGCACAGACAGAAGCGATTCTTGTGTCTAACATGTGAAATATTTCATGGAGGTAGAGCTAAACACATTAAATGCTGTAATAATTGAAATAACACTTCAACCCACCATGAGCCACTTATTAGAAAAACCTCTTCAAATTTTTCCTTCATTAATTTATTAAGGAGCATTTAAGTATCTTACCATGCACTTGCTTCAGTCCTGAATTATGCAGATATTTTCTTCTTTTTCAGCTTATTGGAGAAATACCCTTTGATGCTTCAGATATCTAGAAAATTAAAGCACAATAGTTGTCCTTATTTGCTTGTGGTTAGTCTGAATTTATAGGGCATTTATTCAAGATCATAATTGGATCCCTAAAATATCAAAACTCTGAAACTTACGGGCCATTCTAAACAGAATATTTAATTGGAACAGTGAAATGTGAAACCTTCCAGGGACCTAATAAATTAGATAATGGTGTTCAATATGAGAGCCCTGTGGAGTGTGGTTAAAAAGAGCTCTCTAAAATGTGGAATCATGCCACTGAACAAAACAGTCTTCTAAAGCAGAACTCTTCCAAACTCCCCAACTGTAACAATATTCCTTGGAATTACAGACATCCAGACATGAAGTGTAGCAAGGTATGTTGTAAAATAGTGCTTTCCAACTCATCTTAGACTGATGTTTTATAAGATAAAAGATTGAAGGAGTGTCAAAATGTAAGGGCTGCATTGTAAACAAGGCACTGAGTAGTGCAGCTGCTTAAAAAGCAGGTACAGATTAATAGCTACAATAACAGAATGCAATAAATATTTAAAACCAGTCCAAGAAGTGTTTTGTGAACTTCTTATGGTATTTGATGCTGAAAATTTCAGAGAGAATACTTGGGCTGGTTTCAGGTTGTAAAATACGAAATCTCAAAACCCAACCAAAGAATAAACAGAGAAGAAAGAGAGGGAAATCATGTTGAGGTTGTGATTTAAGTTTGAAATAATTCCAGCACATGCTTTGCAGGCTCTTTTTGTGTCGGTACTGGTGCATTTCCAGGGCAGGGGGTGGTGGTGGTGTCTTGTCCCCCACTGCAGATGTTGGTCCCTGACCTGCACATTTGTTGCTCTAAGCAGTGTTTCTTGGTTCCAGGTATATCACTAAGATATTCCAGGCTTCCAAGTCCTGTGCCACCTTTCTGTGCCAGCCTTAATCCCATTTAATACTCTTCCCAACCTTCCAGTCCCTCATTATCATTTCCTCATTTCATGCTCAGAATGACAGGGCCAGCAGAGCAGGACAAACTAAGAGGGAGTGAAGTTTCTTCCTCATGTCCTCTAAATGTTTGTTCTGTCCACTTTTCCATTTACAAGTCATGCCATCAGAAGAGCTTTGCTTTTATGGATTTCTGCTTTCAAATTCTCCCCTTAACATGGAATTCTGACACCTAACTTCTTTTTGATGTTGCCTTCATTCCTTTGCCCTTCTTAAAGGATCCAGCTTCCCATATCCAAGTAGAAGTCCCTGGAATCCATTGCTGTCAGGTAAGGGTTAAACCATGGTAATTTCTCTGTTTGGGTGCAGGAGTAGAAAGGTCTGATTTTGGTGCTCTTGTTCCTGGTAAAGGTAAAACAAAGAAACCTGGAAAACTTCAGGAGCACATCTTTCCCAAAAGGAAAGACTTCACAGACCCATAATCTGTTGACTTGAGCTAAACTTGGTGGTAAGTAAATAGAATTTCTAGGAAGAAATTCCTCCCTGTAAGGGTACTGAGGCACTGGCACATGCTGCCCAGAGAAGTTGTGGTTGCCCCATCCCTGGAAGTGTCCAAGGCCAGATTGGAGGAGGTTTGGAGAAACCTGGTCTTGTAGAAGGTGTCCCTGCCCATGGAGGATGAAACAAAATGCTCATGAAGATTCCTTCCAACCCAAGCCACTCTATGATTCTATTAAACATGTTGTGCTCAGAATGACTCCAAACTCCATATTTGGCCTTGAGAACCTTGACAAGATGGATGGAATAAAATGGGTCTAGTATATTAATTATGATTAATAGAATAATCTCCCTAATCTTCCTAAAATTGCACCAATATATATGAAATAATTTATCTCATGAACTCATTAAATGCTGCATGACCCCAGTCTCTGTGCCAAAGTGGATTTGACTTCTTGAGATGTCTGAGAGTAAACACTCTCTTATTTTAAAAGTGGTGCTACTGCGAGGAGTACTGGATATTTAGACTGTCAAGGAAAAATAATGCAGTTGAGCACCTCGTCTCCCAGTTTTCTTGCAGATGACACTTCAGCAAGGATTCTGTGTGCAGGTAGGCTGTTCCATGTGGTCCTACCTTCCTTTTCATCTGGGAAAACCAGTAAATGTGAAGCAGAAAAAGGACAGCTGCAGTTAAAAAACTTCTGCATAAAAAAGGGAATGTTTTATTTCCATGAATACAGATAGGTGAGCTTTTTTTTTCCAAGCTCTTTTAATGGAAATGGTTATTGCTTGATATACAGATTTACTTTACTTTGTTTTAGTGTATTGATGTTTTATTGTCATTCGCAATGACTCCAAATTTCACTGAACACTGTAGGCTGGATTTTTAAAAAATTATTTTAAAAACCCTCCTTATTTTTGTCTAAAAGTCAACAGAATTTGGGCACTGATAACCCTTTGATCATCCCAGCCTTGGAATTTAATTGAGCCAATAGTCTTGATGCTGCTCAGGCTTTTGCAAGGTGTCTGCAGGAGCCATGCAGAATTCCAGGGAGGACAGCTGTAAAATATACAAGCTCAAATTTATTCCTGTAAAATGTTTATAAACATTTTAGACAAGGAAAGCTTATATAAAGAGCTCCTGTGGTATGCCTACAGCAAGCCCACTTTTCCATGGACATGTGTCCAGACATCTGGGAATGTACATATCCATTTTTTATGGCTCCCTCCTTCTGTACTGTTTTCATGGCAGTGAGTGACAGAAGCGATTTTTTAGAGTAATTAAGTTCTCAAAACTTGGAAGAAAAACCTTCAAATTCTCTAGAAAAGAACAGGAAATCTTAGATTTTTCAGGGTGCTGAATATTATCAAAAGCATAAAGAGAATGTTAAACACACTTTGTGTTGTTTTAGAGGTATTTGCTTTTCTGATCCTTTAAGTCTGCTGTATCCACTTTGTGGATCTGAGTTCCAGAAGTGAGTGGGATTGAATGTTTGATTCTGGATCAAAGGTATTGCTTCCAGAATTTAAATGCATGTTGGAGAAACAAAATCCCCACTCAGGGTTCTCTTACAACCCAAATAAACTTTTAAAATCAACAGGGATGGATTAGCTAGTATGTTTTCCATCATGAGTGTAAGACATGGTTCAGATTTCTTGTTTTCCTTGATGCTTGTACAGTACATTGTGGAGGAATAAATAATATAGGATAACTGTTGTGTATTATAGTTTAATTTTGCCTCACTATTTTTTGGAGAGAAATCACTTAAACTGGGGAGAGACATTCAGTTATTGTATGGGATAATTGTTGTGTATTATAGTTTAATTTGCTTCTCTATTGTTTGGAGATAAGTCACTTAAACTGGGGAGAGACACTCAGTTAAAAAAAAAAAAGAGAATTATTATTGCTTGTCACTGTTATGCCTGAAAGTAATAATTTCTCAGTGTGTAGTTCCATGTTGCTATAGGAAATTGTCAGGATATGGATTCCTTTGGACTGGTGTTCATGAAGAGTGACAGTACCTGGAAACTGCAGTACTGATAGGGCCTACAGCTTTTAATTTGCCTCTGCAGCCTTGACCCATTCAGAGCTGTTTAGATATTTCAAATAGTGCTTTTCTTGATTTTGGAGGGCAGTCTGGAGAAGAGTTTGGTGAAGTCAGCATTTTAATGAAAATCTTTTGATTTGTCAACCATCTGAATTCCTGTGCAGTGTCCTCTGTTCTTTGCCCAAGCTGGGAAGCTGTTCTCTATCCTGGACACCTGGCACTCAGTCCCCAGTCTCCTGCCACTGTGTGCTCATAGCTCCCCTCAGAACTTCCTTCTCTGGTCCTCCCCAATGTATTTTCAATGCATTTAATGGTATTTCAGACAAAGTGGTGCAGTGCTATAACAGGAATATTTGAAGCCTTGCCCCCGAGCCCCAGCTAAGAAGGAAGTTTTCAATGCTGTTTAATTAGGTTTTTTGCTTCTTGGTTAAAAGTTATAATGTAGTGGCCCTGCAGATTTTTAAAAATTTTTATTCAGACTGTGGCATAACGAGGAATTACAGGCTGTCAGAATCAAATTGTGGTGCTTTTCCTACCATGGTTACAGCTTTGTAAAAGAATGTATAGGTGTACTTGCTCTGGTTGTATTAGAAGGTGAAAATTATCTTGAGGATTGCTAAGCTCTGCTTAGTTTTATGACATTTTTCTGTTCTTGTCAGAAGCTGCCATGGCAAATGCTTAAGAAGGAATTAAAATCTCAGGGGTTTCTAAATCTGCTCCATCTTTAACTGATAAATTGTTCATAAACACACAGTATGTGGCATCACCTTTCATCTATTAAAGAAGGTATTGAGAGCTCATCTAATTCTTAAAAGGATGACTGTGCAGAGGAATTAATATAAAATATTGAAAATGAAAGATGAAAAACAGGTTAGAAAACCAATCTGCAAAACTGCTAGTCCTGCTTCCACTAATTTATATTTGTTTGCCAGCTTTGAGCTGATCTAGGCTTGACTTAGCAGTTCCCTGAGCGCAGCAATCTCTTAGACCAGCCCTCCCTGTCTCAGGACAGTGACTGAAGTGTCCCCATGTCCCAGGCATCCCTGACTGATGGGATGTGAGACACTCCTGGGGGGCTCTGGTTTAGTTAGCACAGCTTTGAGCAGCCACCAAACGGAGGAGCATTTGCCTCAAGTGTAATTTGTCCCCTTCTTTTCCTCGTCCATCAGCCAGGAATTGTAACAAATGAAGGAGAAGGAGGGGCCTGGCAGAACCAATGGAGGCACAGTTTGTTAAGGAAGCATTTGGCCCCACCGAGGCTGGGTAGTCACCAATCATGCTCAGTTACTGAAAAAAAGTGACAACTTCCCAGCAACGGCTTTCAAGCTGTGAACCTCCTGCATTTGCAGGAGCTTCTCCCTGGGAGTGAGGGAGGTTACACCAGGACACATCTTTTGATATCCTGTGACATTATGCAATGCACCCATCACGTTGCATCATCATTGAAATGCTGCTCAGATAATGTCTTTGCCTTGCATCAAAGCTTAATGACAAAAAATTTGAAATTATACCATGAAAACAAACTGATTCCTACCAGCCTTCCTTCTTCCTTCTGTACTGGTTTGAAAAGCTTGGCTGGAGATGGAAAAATTTAATCTTGGCTTTTTTTTTTTTTTTACCTTTTTAACCTTCTCAGTGTTTGTTTTTCAGAATTTGGGTGGAGAAATAAGATCTCCTAAAGAGCTGGAGTAGTACAACAGCCAGTTAAATCTTATTTTTCTTTCTTACTGTCTGCTTACAGAGTTTTGTGTGGATGTTTGCATCCTTCTGTCTCTCATTTCAATTTTCCCCTGGGAGACTTTTTGCATGTTCCAATGACTCTCATTGTTTAAACTTTAAACCAGTAACATTTTAATGCTATGGAAAGATGTAATAGGATTACCAAATTAAAAAAAAAAAAATAAAATTTGAAGTCTTTTTTCACTGTAGTCTTTTATGCTAGAGTGGAGACCACGTTCAAGACAGCACCCAAGCTCCCAGGTGATCACAGCAAGTCACAGGCTGGTACAAATTCTGCTTCTGTGGGGTTTCTTGACACTGCTTTGGTGGTTTTTACTCCACTCTGCATTTCTCTCCATGTTTGCTTCTGTGTAATGCCTGTGGGGAATTTCAGCAGTGACTTGCACAGTGAACCAGCATCAGTGAATTATTTAAAATAGGTATAGTCACTTTAATGTGATTTAATAATTAAAAAACCCTTTTAAAGACAAAATCAGCTGCACAGAGGGCTGGGGTAAAGAACTGAGAACCTTTGTTGGAGAACTGGTGGCTGTGGCCAGGAGCCCTGAATTGTATGGATTACCATGAAATTGTCACCTCTGACAGCCACAGGAAGATCCTGTCAAGTGGCTCGAAAGTCTCTGGTGGCTTATTTACTTTCTTATCACTCAATAAATTTGGACAGAAATTTTCATTGTGCCTTCAGACTGTTAAAACAGTATCTCTTTCTTCTTTCCATTGCTCTCTTCCAGATAATTGTTTGATGATGTAAATTAAGAACTTGGATCTGTAATTTTAAATAGAGAAATGTTATTAAAACCCCAAACTTTCTATATAAAATGTGAGATTTTAACTCTTGCTGTGAACATGCACACATATATAGAGTTAGAGAAGCCTCTGGCTAGCAGTTTATTTTCTACATCCATAGGTATAAATCCCTGAGAAGACCAGTATAAATTGGGATGTTAGCTTTGGATTACAAACAGCTTCATTTAGGGAACATGCAGAGAAAGGTATTGCCTGAGGAGGCAAAAATATTTTATTTCCCTGAGAAAACAAAGTGG